ATGATGAGGGCAATGAATGTACAAATGTGCTTTACACAACTGATATATGTATGGATTGTGATAAGAGTTGTATGAGATCCTAATAAATGATTTAAAAAATAAATTAAAAAAATAATAAAGATGAATGCATGTTGGTAAAAAAAAGAAATATTTCACAATATATAATTAAATATTGTTTTATGATGAATCACTATGCTTTAATTATGTTCAATATATAACAATGAAAATACATCCTGCCTATCAGATATTTACATAACAATTCATAACAGTAGCAAGACATAGTGATGAAGTAATAACAAATATAATATTATGGCTGGGGTTCCCCACAACCTGAGAAACAGTATGAGAGGGTAGTGCCACGAGGAGGGTTGAGACCCACTGCTCTGAGTAGTGGGAGTACACCCCAGGCATGCTCTGTTGGAATGCTCTTCCAGATACTTCCCCCACCCCCACCCCACTACCCAGGAATGGCTCGGCTGTTGTGCTCCTCAGATTTCAGCCTAAGTACCAACTCTTTGGAGAGGTCCCGGTAAACTTGATGGAGCCTGTTATTCTAGAACTCACCATGCCATTCGCCACACATTGATCTACATTGATCTATGGCAGAGATTGTTTTTTGGTTACTTCTAATTTATTTATCATTCATTACCTTTCCAAAATAGAAGGACAACTCATTGAGAACAAAGACCTTCTCTACCCTGTTCACCTTGTATCCTAGGTATCCAGAACAGCGCAGGTTTGGCACATCATTGGTGTTCCAGTTTCCAATTGGTTTTGTTCACCGAGATAAAGAGATCTGCAAGCATTTTAATATTTCCATTTTTCTTTTTTTTTTAATATTTCCACATTTCATGGTAATCCTATAACCACCCTTTTAATTATGATCACTACCTGTATTTTACAGATGAGAAAATGGAGGCAGAAATTTCATACTAAGTGGTAGAGCTGGGGACAAACTAAGGCAGCTGGCTCCAAAGTCTGTGTCCTGGATCGCTAGTCCAACTGCTCTGTAATGACCACCTTTACTTTGGAGATGGTATAAAATAAAAGAGGTGGTGGGAGTGGGACACTTCAAAAAGTTCATGGAAAAAATTCCATCACATTTTTACTCTATTTTTTCCAAGGACTTTTTGAGGCCCCCTCATTCCCATTCGCACACACACATACACACACACACCATATAAGAGATTACATTAAAAGTAATACTTGTAAAATCATAAAACCATTTATTTTATTTTTTTTTAACATTTTATTAGGGGCTCATACAACTGTTATCCCAATCCATACACACATCAATTGTGTAAAGCGCATTTGTACATCGTTTCTCAAAACATTTTCTCTCCATTTAAACCCCCGACATTAGGTCCTCATTTTTCCCCTCCCTCCCCGCTCCCCCCTCCCGCATGAGCCCTTGATAGTTTACAAATGGGTATTTTGTCATATCTTGCCCTGTCAGACTTCTCCCTTCATCCACTTTTCGGTTGTCCGTCCCCCAGGGAGGAGGCCACACACAGTTCCATGCAATTGGTTCCCTCTTTCCTACCCACTCTCCCTCCACCCTCCCTGTTTTGCCACTCACACCACTGGTCCTATAGGGCTCATCCATCCTGGATTCCCTGTATTTTCAGTTCCTATCTGTACCAGTGTACCTCCTCTGGTCTAGCCAGTCTTGCAAGATAGAATTCGAGTCATGGTAGTGGGAGCGGGGAGGAAACCTTTAGGAACTAGAGGAAGGTTGTATTTCTCATCATTGTTACATCGCACCCTGACTGGCTCATCTCCTCCCCGAGACCCCTCTGCAAGGGGATCTCCAGTGGCCTACTAATGGGCTTTGGATCTCCACTCCACACTCCCCCCATCATTCACTATGGTAAGATTTTTTGTTCTGATGATGCCTTACACCTGATCCCTTCGACACCTCGTGGTTGCATAGGCTGGTGTGCTTCTTCCATGTGGGCTTTGTTGCTTCTGAGCTTGATGGCCGCTTGATTACCTTCAAGCCTTTAAGACCCCAGACGCTATACTTTTTGATAGCCGGGCACCATCAGCTTTCTTCACCACATTTGCTTATGCACCCATTTGTCTTCAGTGATCCGTTCGACACCCGTGAAGCTGCTGTTTCTTGATGTCTCCTCCACCTTGGTTTATATACTTCTGGAGGTGGTATTTACATCTCCCTAACTCTTCCCCAGAGAACTCTGGACTCTTTTCTTTGTTTGGGCATCCTCAGATACTCCATTTGTGCTCCTGTGAGAAGTCTGGTTTGGGGCAACAATATGAAGTCTGAAGGGG